CCAGCGAGGTATAGAATCATTCGAGGAAAGGAAATGATACGCGCGAAGAAAGTGGCTAGCGTAATTGTCGGACTAATGTGGCCTCCACTCGAGGGAGAGAAGGTGTAGATCAACAGCGGAGTCAGAAGGAGATTGGTGATGCCGCCGAACAGTGGGGAGAAGAAGGTGACTGTATGGTAGACGCCGGCCTCGGTCTGCGGCGAAGTCGTCTTGGACAGTGGGTGGGTAGTCACCCAGGACGAGATGAAGACGTTCATTAAGCTCGCTGTATAGGATCGGGGTCAGCCATCTTCATTGTGATATCACCACATGGTGGGAGCATTCTAGCATGAGGACAGAAATTTCTTCCATCCCCGGATGTCGAAGGAGAAACGGTCTTACCGATACATTCCAGCATGGCGAACTTCCATAGATCTGCACTGAGAAATCCCCGTAAGTCGAAGATCTCGGCCAATGTCATGCACGGTGCAGCATCGGGGACTCTATCCAAGACACCGACATTCTTGGGGTCATTCCGGTCGACGATGAAGTCCTGATTACCACCCAAACGACCCGCGAATGGAGGTATAGCAGGCTCCAGGTACGGATGATCGCCCTCAAGCTCGGTCTGGGGCAAATAAGCTACTACCATGGCGTTTCGATTGAGTTTCACCTGGATCAGGTACCCTCGCGATTAGGCAATCGGTGATGAAACCTTACCTTGGCTGCGGTGGTGAAACGTAACGAGCTTTCCGCTCATTGGCTGATGGTGCTTACTCATCCCTGCAAGGTTTTCTCTCGGCGAAATATTGACCGCCGAGCCAATCAACACTCGCAGAGTGGGGCCAGTTGGCCGAGTCACCGCCGTCGCAGTTACTCCAAGTTACTCAAAGTTGGGGTTGAGTTTGATATTCTTTTTCTCTACCAAGATCCTAGCGTAGTGGATATAAGCAAATAGCAGATGTGAATACCAATCAGCTAGTTGACCCGTTCAATCGAGATCCAATATAATCAATCGTTGGGCGCAAAAAAAGAATAAAGTTGTGACAGCACTCAATGCCCATCATCACCCAAAAATATCAGGGGTAATATTGCAGAACATCATTCTTGGACCCGGAATCTAGACCGCAGCTGCTTAGAAGAGATCACCGAGTTCATTTGTCCACCTGGAGTTGGCCGGCATCCATCCCAGAATTTCCTATGATTAATATTAATCACCACCGGGCCCGCTCTTCTCCCATACCCCGTACTATGGAGTTGGTAAGTCCCGCGAAGTCAACGATCTATTAGTCAAGGAATCTAGCAGTCTATCCCTATAGGCTTGGATGCTGATTTCTTACTCCATATTAGTCTTTGCTTCGATCGTACCCGCAGTAGCTCGCATTGGCTTCGTTTATATATGTAGTAAAGTCCCAAGATATTGTTTCTAATCGAGCCGGTTGAGTGCTACTAGTATCAATGTTACACCTGATAAATCGTTCAACGGTGACTTGATAGCCCGAGCAAATATATCTTAACATGTCGACCAACCCCCTAGTGTTCTTCAAAGTTTGACCCAAATACTGCTCCGGTCGTCCAAAAATGAGTGCCACGACGATTACCCCACCTAGTATTCAAGGAGAGGGTAAACGCGCTATTCCGAACAAGCAGATCGGTTGTTAAAGTTCCTGCTCAATGTTCTAATAGGGCTGTATCCTAGTCCTGGCCCTTACCATTGGAAGTCTTGGAAGTATATTATGCCCAACCTTGGAATCCTATCTCATTGTTTGGAGATATATCCAGTCCCTCATCATTGTTCAAATAGTTACGAACTTGAACTTGAAGGCAGAAATTCCAAGGGTTGCAGTTTTCCACACCGGCCACGGGACAAACAGTGGAAAAAAGCTCCTCAAGCCGTTCAATTAGTAGAATTAGCACCACGGATTTCCAAGGTTGGGATGATGTAACTTGAAGTTTTGAATTAGACAATGTGTGATTAACAGTGTTCATGGGCCGCGCCTTAGGCCAATTCGGAATGACACGCCTGGGAAACAGGCTGGCAGAACTTGAATCATTCAAGCACCTAGTACTAAGTCAGCCAAAAATAAATCTCAACTCAATACTAAACTTCTTCGTAATCCCAAAAATTGGCGAGGTTTTCAATGAATTTATCAAACTCTTTGGCTTTGCTTAAAGGTCACGTGCCTGGATTTGCGGGCGATAGCTCGGCATTGCAGAAACTCACAACTCGACCTGGCGACAATGACACCCTACATTCTGGACAAGAATAAAGAAAAGACGAACAACTGCACACGCTCTGCTATGGATTGATAAGCGCCGAGTTTGATGTCAAATTTGAAATACATATTCAAAAGACACCCACTTCATGCACATCTCGGACCATTTAAGACCAGTCGCATAAATTGACGAATACTTTGCAATGGATCAGACAACAAAAAACCAGGATCGAGGACAAAAAGATGGCACAGCAAAGCCAAAATCAAAACACGACTATCCAAAACGCCCTCGAGCCTCGGAGAATAAATTCAACGCCCTGCAAACGGGAATAAAGGAATTTCTGAAAACCCCGCCATCACAATCACTTCTTGCTGAACTCGAGATCTCTTTTGACGCTATCACTGCATCTCTTCCTAAACGCTATACAGTCTATGAACCCCTTGTTCTACTGCCGGCAAATGCATTTAACGCACCCCCACTCTGGGGCACATTCTGTGCGGCACTATCACCCGAGCAGAAAGATTTATTGTATACCTCAATAGCAAAGGCCTTCGGACGACTCGGCGCTACTCATGTGGCAGTAAATGCACCTATTGCCTTGACCACTCAAGGTCAAGAGAACCGGATGCGAAGTCCCGCCGGCTTGATTCCCCTGCACGGCAACTTTGGGAATTCCCCCAGAGCCGCGGGCGATGAAAGTGAACAACCGGATACGGCGGAGCTCGAACATGCATTCTGGGTGCAAACTGTACAAAACCATGGCATTCAACAAGTATGGGCACCGCTTTATACGATGTTCTCCCGCGGAAATATCACGGAGAAGGCGCGAATCACGGGACAAGGTCCCTCCCAGGGAACATTTCCTGGCTTGGATGAACAATCCCTACGAGGACAAAAAATCTCGGACATTAGCGTTGTTGATATGTATGCGGGAATTGGTTACTTTGTATTCTCATACCTCAAGCGAGGTGTCAAACGTGTCTGGGGATGGGAACTGAATGGTTGGTCCGTGGAAGGCTTGCGGCGAGGATGCGAAGCTAATCGATGGGGCTGCCGAGTGATTCGGGTTCGGGAAAATGGGAGATTGGACATAACGATCGAAGAGCTTGTGGACAGCCTTACAGCGAATGACCGGGTTGTCATATTTCATGGAGATAACACATTCGCGGCAGAAATTCTTACAAAGATCCAACACATTATGGAGCAGAGAAATGCGTGGAGTCCTGTCCGTCATGTCAACCTGGGTCTTTTGCCTTCTTCAAGACCATCCTGGGACAATGCGTGCAAGGTTCTTGACCGACATCAAGGTGGTTGGTTCCATGTCCATGAAAATGTGGACGTGCGAGAGATCGAGGAAATGAAGACCAAGCTAAAGACCGAGCTGGTAAGACTCCGAAAAATGGTCCACGCCGAGTATGATATCCCGACAGACCCCATGATAGACTGCCATCATGTCGAGCATGTCAAGACATATGCTCCAGGTGTCATGCATTGCGTCTTCGATATCCAAATTTCGCCTCTTGAAGATTCTCCCGGCCTTGCAGAATGACAGAGGCCCACACTACCTTTGTTCCAACATTGCACCATTGGGCTGGCAGACAGAGAGAAGCCATTTTTTGCGTTCATCCCTCTCTTACAGCACGCTCCAGAATACAGGCCTCGAGTATGGTACATGTCATCACACGTCTATTCATAGCCTGAGATGGCTCACCAGTTCATATCATTAGTCCACACGAGGCATAACCATGAGACATTTCACCCCACCAAAGTCCTGTATGTGAATGTTTATGTACATTAAGAAAATAATATCCAACCCAAAAAACAAACAAACTAGAAATTGCGACGGAATTTCGAGGGGATGTTGACCTCGACAACCTGCATGCGTTCCAGCTTCTCGAGTCGGATCTGGGCAAGTTCCTCCTCATCGTGGCGTCGGAAATGTTCAATATCCTCAGGATGCGTCAAATCATCCTCGGTGGTATCATCTCCATGGAACTTTTCGAAGTGATGAATCTCGTACTCATACTCCATGTCGCCATGGTGTCCGGGGCCGAAGCCGAGGTCGGGCAGTCGAGTGCCAGCAGCGACTGCCTTCAACCAGGCATCACGGGTGATAGTACCGGTGTTTGTCGGGTCGAAAAGATCAAAGACTTGACGGACAGCAGCTTCTTTGCGCGACTGATCCACGCCCTTATTGGATTCGTCGTCCATACCGTAGGTCTTGCGTACTTCCTCGGTAGTCCATGCCCCGGATGCATCGTAATCGTGAAGTGTGAAGAATGAAGGCGCGTCGAATCCTTCGATGTGATGTTCCTCTAGAGAATGCATTAGCAGTCATTCAAGCACCATTGAGTGTTTTCGACTCCATCATACCCATCATGTGTCTGGTGGCCCAGTCGTCCGACTGCGGTTGATCATTGGAGTGTGAGCCATGGGCACTGGCCAAACCACTGCTCAGGGCGAGTACCCCAGCAACAAAGCAAACCAATCGCGCGACCATGATTGGAGAATAAAAGGATATGCTGTACTTGTGCTCTGTACAGGAAAAAGAACAGCAAGTTGAAGCAAGTTGATTGCGGCCAACTTTCCCCCCCGGCGCCACAGGAGAACCGGGGCTGAGCTTGTTTGCACTGTTTGCATCCCCGTGAAATTCCGGCGACGCCAAAACTGAAAAGAATCCCACGCATCACCCCATATCAACAGCGGACTCCGTGGGGAGTCCAATTGCCCGATTTCACCTATTCGACCTTCCTCACTCACACTCATCTGCCGTGGTCTCTTGCTTTGACAGAGATGCTCTGATAATGCAGAGTTTGTGGTCCCGTGCCGGCCGGTCGCAGTCGTCCTGTCGTTGCGTTTCGTGCTTAAGCACGACCGCCAACGGAGTTGCTTCGCGATCGGCAGGCGCTGCCAGCAAGAAACGCCTTCGCATAGGCAATTCAGTCACCGCGCTGTACACGAGCATATTCGCCGCCGCCGCCCTAGCCGATGCGAGAGCCAAGACTCAACGACGGAATGACTGGGAGGAAAAGATTGCCGCGGTCAAGGCCGAGGTAGACGTCTTGGTGGATGAAGAACAACGCATTCTTGAGTCTCTCCAAAATCGACGGAAATCACGAGGGGTTCATCGATTGTTACATACTAGGGGATTGGTCACAACCTCGAACTTTACATCCGCACCGAGGCAACGAGCGACCTTGGCCCGGCCCACAAGGTCCTATCATACCACCAAGAGCGGCCTCGCCAATGCTACCGCCGCGGAGATTCAGGACAAATTGCTGGAGGAGATGGACGTCTTCGACCCGGAAGAGGAGGATCTGGTTCTGGAACAGCAACCATTACCCAATTGGGTTTTGAAAGAGCCACTCCGGATGAAGGCTATTCAGAAACTAGCCTTGAAGCAATTTGCGATTCGCCTTTTGCTTAGGCCAGCCGTCGCACACCGATACTCTGGAGTCAAAATGAACTACGCCCCAGATTTTGAGGTCCCAAAAATCAACGTCGACAGACTTCTAGACGAGTTGAACAGCATCCGCGGTCGCATGAAACATTTACGAGAGGACAAAAATGCCCATTACGAAGATTTGACACAGGGGCTCACCAAGAAAATGTCGGACCAAGGTCAACGGGATAAGGCCTCGAGATTTCGTGAGCGGCTAGATGCCGAGCTTGATCAGGATATTCATCTATACATGTGCCAGGAGATGTCCCTTCAAGAGCTGCTGCTACGCATATCTCAAAATCTCATGGTTTCCAAGGAGCCTGATCGCACAGCCGCATTCCGAGCCATTCTCATTGCTTTCACTCGTACCCGACAGAATGATCTATGCGACATGGCCTTGAAAATGCTCATTCCGAACCAATTTTATCTCAGCACATCGCTGGTCATCACAATACTGGCTTTCTTCCGCAAGTCTAAGAATCTCAAAGACTTTGACTTGTTCCTCCAGATGCTCAGTGGAGAAGGATATGCTATTAACATTGGATTCCTTGGCTACTACCGAACTATGAAGATCAATGGAGTTGATATTGTTGTCCCACCAATGGACAGCAATAACCCCGTCCTATATACCGAGCTGATCGCAGCATCTTTACGGTTCGACCAGCCGGACAGGGCGGACGCCTATCTTCAGGCAGCGCGCAGGGCTGGTTTCTTCGATAACTATCACACTCTCGCAGTTTACCTCCGATTTTACAGCATCAGACAGGATTGGGAAAAAGGCTCGTCTGCGCTGAAGAGAGCCATCACCTACCTCGTATCGTCAACGGATCCAACAGAAAGCTACGTCCCGCGGCTCCTTGTACGGATGGTCCAACTATGCGATTCATGCAACCGAAAGGACGTCTCGCAAGCTTTAATTGACGCTGCTGTACACAGCGGCTTTGACCCAAACATCCCGTTGGAACAAGATGAGCTCACCCCCATCTACGACCTTGAGGGCAACCGGTGGAAAGAGGCGGCTAAGTCGGCATCGTCGAAAAAAGAATGGCCACAGCCCTCTATGGCAAAAATGCTATGACTTTGCAAGCATATTTGGTGAATACTTGAGCAGGCTCGAGACATCAGAGAGTGCTAGTAAAAGCCAGCAATTCGATCAGTTCTCTGCTCAATATGCGCATCATTCTATGATCGCCTCACTTGCCAACGTATCAGGACAGACCAGGTACACAAGAACGATGTCCAGCTCATCGCCAATCTTACAGCCAGAGGTTGATCTCTCAGAAAAGACGCAACCGCAAAACCAACAGTCGGAAGAGCTTGCATCGATGAAGATTGAACTAGCCCAGCTTCGACAGCTGGTCTTTCAAATGCGCGAACATCACATTGAATCATCATTCAAGGATGATGACACTTTCCACGAAGACCATGTCAAACCGAGTCTACAGAACATTCAGACGCCCCCTGCACCCGCCAACGATACCGAGGACCCGCACATGAGCATCAAATTCGAGCGGAAATCCACACCCACTGAGGAGAAAGGACCCCCATTGTCCGGGAAAAGGAGGCGCGCAGTTTCAAAGTCAATAAACTGATCATGAAGACTATCGAGTCTTCCTTGGCTATTTTCGACATCTCTACAAGCTCATCTCGGTCGATCGAATCTCGGCACATCGAAGTGGCTGAGAGACGAATTGGTAGCCCGTGTATACATTATTGAAATCTAGTTTTTGGCGCTTCGATCGGTGGTTATAAATTTTGTACATTAGCCCAGCACTTCTATAAGAAGTGACTCAATCACAATAGAGAAGAACATGTATCATATACAATGAGCTTTCGTTTAGAAATTTGCCCCTCCCTAGCAGCCACTATAGTACCAAAACAGAACTAGAAGGACAATTTCCAAGGTTACATTAATTTGATGTAAAGGACTCGGAGGTGCACCGAATATAATACAAAGATTGAACTTCTACCTGAAGACTTTTAGGCATTTACCAGAAAATTTTGACAAAAGGGAATCTAAAACGAGGACATTGAGCCGTGAAGGTCTAACAAAGAAAAAAGACAATGGTCTACCGGCGCTCGGAGCGCATCTTTTCCTTGCGAGCGAGTCGATCGGCGGCACGCTGGAGAGATGATCGAATATCGCCTTTAGGGAACGAGTTGACATCATAGTAGGTGGGTGCAATGTCCTGCTTCGGGGTTAGCAAATGTAAATAAATAATGATGGGATCGAGAATACTAAACGTACCAATAGCCACTCGGGCTTGATAGCGACCACCGTACGAATGTAGTTCTTGGTAGTAAGAACGAATTCGTTATACAAAACCCATTCCGCATCGTGGGCCAAGACAGTGGACGGGTGCAGAAGAACACTTTGGTTATCTTTGATGGTGGTGTATAAGCTCTTGCCTTGAGATTCTTTCTTGGCAACTTGCATGAAGAATCCAGCACACAGAGCACGGCGGATGTTCTCATAGTACTTCTTGTCGTCGAAGGGGGTCGACACCATGTCGAGTTCTTCGCGCTCCATAATGCGGAGCAATTGCATGCGAACGTTATCGGCAGACTGCAGGGAACGAAGGGAGAGGAAGTGGTCGTGGCACCACTGCTTGGGGTTTGCTTGCGCCTCGGCACCCTTGAATGCGTGGTAGACGTTCAAGAGGGTCAACTGGTCACCGTGTTCGTGAGAGAAGAGGGCCTTCATCTCATCCGCGCGCTTTCGCTGGGACGCAGGGCGAACAAACACGTTGGGAACGGAGAGTAGGGCGGTGATGGAAAGAATTTCGTTAGAGCAGTAGAACTCGGGAGAGCTGATCAGCATGACAGCCAGAACCGGATCAAGCGGGAAGTCCGATGCCAGACGACCGAGTTGGGTGAGTTCACCCTCATCATCCAGACAAGCCAAATAGTTGAGCTCCTCTAGCGCTCTCATCAGAGTCTCTGGTGCAGGCGGGTCCATCAGATCAAAGTGAACCAGATCGTCAATTCCAAGCTTCTTCAATTCGAGCACAGTCGAGGACAAGTTCGACCGAAGAATCTCGGGGTATGTCTGCTCGATAAGTTCTTTCTTGAAAGCCTCCTCGGTGTAAAGACGGAAGCATTTTCCAGGACGCGTACGACCAGCACGACCAGCTCTCTGCTGCGCGGAGGCCTTAGAGATGGGAGAGACCAGAAGAGATTCGACACGGATACGGGGGTTATAGATCTTTTGCTTGGAGAAACCGGGATCCACCACATACACGATTCCATCGATGGTAAGAGATGTTTCGGCAATGTTGGTGGAGATGATGACTTTCCTACCGGGACGGCCACCGGGGCGACGAGCCGGAGGTGCAGGGTCGAAGATGCGTTGTTGCATGTGGGGAGGCAGACTACCGTAAAGCGGATACACCTTGAGAGGGCCAGCATCGGCTTCCCTGACCATTTCGTCACCCTCAAGTGCAATCTTGCGCGCGGCATCTTCAATCTCTTCTTCACCAGTTAGGAAAACCAGAATATCTCCTTCATCTTCGGTGGCGTGGATCTGTAGGACAGTCCGAATGGCGGCCTCAACGTAATCCTGCTCCGGCTCGGGAGTATAGAAGATCTCGACGGGGTGAGTTCGTCCGGGAACTGCCAGAAGCGGTGCATCCAAAAAGTACCGCTGGAACTTTTGCGCATCAAGGGTGGCAGACATGATGATGATCTTCAGGTCAGGGCGGCGCGCCACAACTTGCTTCAAAAGACCCATGAGAACATCAGTAGCCATTGTACGTTCGTGAGCCTCGTCAAGCATGATGGTGCTGTATCGTGACAGATTATGATCATTCATGGCCTCTCGCAAGAGCATACCATCAGTCATATATTTCAACAGAGTCTTCGAGCTCGTCTTGTCTTCGAAACGAATACTATAACCGACTTCATCGCCAAGCTTGACATCCATCTCCTCGGCGACACGCTGGGCAACAGACATGGCCGCAACACGACGAGGCTGGGTACAGGCGACCATCTTGCGCTGGGTCTGGGGGAGGTCATCGAAGAGGACGAATTGCGGGATCTGGGTGGTCTTTCCGGAACCGGTCTCACCGACGAAGACGAGGATTTGCGATTGCTGATAGAGCTGCAGGAATTCATCACTGAAAGGAAATAGATTATTAGTATGACTGGAGTGGATTTCGCAAGAATAATTAACGAGGGAGGGCTTCAACTCACCGCTGCTGGTGCACGGGGAGATCACGACGACCCTTCAAGATGGAGAAATATTTGGTGGAGAAAGGCTGGCCATTGAACGGATTCACATCACCATCCTCGGCCTTTTTAGCCAGCGCCGCCGTAGTTTGATGGCGCTTGAACTTAGCAAAGGCCGAGCTGGAGTCGGCCTTGGAGTGATTATCCTCGTACATATGGGCGAGGTACGGGTTATCCTTAGGGTCTCCGGCCTCCATCTTCTGACGCTTTGCTCGCGAACCGCCCTCCGAGTCTGAACGACGATCGACCATGGTGCGCAATGCTCGTAAGTCGGGGAAAGGTGGTAAAAAGTCGAACGCGATAAAAAAATCTCGGATCGGCCTGGACGGAGGGCGATAGAGAAAGCCTATCGCCGCACTCACCGCCTGGAGTATTCTGCCGCCCTGGGCTCCCCACAATCAAGCGAAAGGGATTCCCTGGTACATACTCGTATATCATATATCAAAGCTTGAGGCAAGCCACAGAGCTTTGATCAAGATGGAAAACTACGCCTCTGACGATCCAGGCCCGGCCTTCTTGATCGGTCACCATGAAAGTAACCGATCCATGGCCGTGACCACCGATACCATCTTCAAGGTTCACGAATCCAACGTGGGTAGCCCCTCCCTCCAGCGTATTCTTTTATTCTCACTTGCCAAAACGAGTATTGATGGAGCTTTAGTATGATATGTTGACGGTGCCTATTACTACACCTCACTTTCATTCACGGGTATTGGGGCTGCTCTCCTCTTATCTGTCCAACCTTCAGTCCCCAACATATGACCCCATTGGGACTATGGGAACCTCCCAGAACACTCGTCCACTAGTTGTGCCAGCTCTGTCGAAATTGGACACCCATCTCACTCCCAATGATGCTACCAGCCAAATTGTCGGAGTGATTAGTAGCTGGATTGACCTCTGCTCGCCTGACCCTTTGATCGCAGACCTGTCACGGCAAGTGCTTCTTCTAGAAGTTGCCTACGCCGCTTTCTGTGGCATTGGGTATATTTTGGTCCCGAGCCCCAAGCTGCATCATGGAGACCTCCATTCGGAGGGGGTGGTTTACTATGCTCGTGCTATTCAGGATGCGATCAACCTTGGTCCCTACATTCAGTTTCACATCTGGCTTCAAATGACTGATAGCCCCGAGCTGGAAGTTGACACTATGGGAGATTTGGCTCCTCTTGCCAGAGCAGAATACCTGCTACCCGAAGAAGGCGCGTCCCCTAAATTGGATCTGTTTGGCACTTGGGATGCCTGGGATTTGATTCGCAAGACTTGTAAATACCATACAAGGTTGCTCGTAGGTAAGATGCGCTCAGACCCCCCCCCTTCTCTTGCCCCTTCTGTAGTCGCTTTTTGCTAACTGATATAAAAGCCCTGGTGATGCCAAAACAGCTACCCCCTCTGACTGTTCAATCACGCTGGCACTCGGAACCCGTGCATCTCTTGACCATTGATGGCTCATGCTTTTTGAAAAACCAGAAGGGGTATCCGGTTTTATCCAAGGCCCACCAGTCTTTGATTGTAAAGATGATGCGTCTCCGAACCGTACCTTGGATTATTCTTTGTGATGTGGGTTCAATTCCTGGGATCGAGGACGTGGAGATGGATGAGGACGAGGAAAACAAGTCTCCTCTCTCCGGCTCCGAGTACCCCAGCCTGTCGCAGGTTGCGGGGTCGGCCAAGAAGCATTTTGATCCCACTCCACACCTCTCCTATATTCGGAATCTGCAGCAGCGTCAACCTGCGCGAACCCCCATTGAGCGATTTGGCGTGGGGTATCAAGACTATTTGCAGGCTCCTCTGCAACCGCTAACCGTCAATTTGGAGAGTATCACTTATGAAGTTTTTGAAAAAGATCCGATCAAGTATGAATGGTATGAGCGTGCGATCACAAAGGCACTAAGAGACTGGGCTGATCAAAAGAAACCTACATCCCACCCGGATGGAAAGGTGGTTCTTGCTGTCGTGGGTGCTGGACGCGGACCCCTTGTGACTCGAGCACTCAAGGCCAGTGAGGAGGCTGGGGTTGAACTTGATCTATGGGTCGTTGAAAAGAACGAAAATGCATTCGTTCTGTTGCAGCGACATAACGAGACTACTTGGGGTGGTAAGGCCACACTGGTCAAGTCTGACATGCGGAGCTGGAAAGGACCGCGTGTGCGGCGTCAATCAGGAGGCAAGGCCAACCAGGACCATGTCGGTGAATCGTTGGGCATCGAGGACTCTCTATTATATGCCCCGAAAAAGGGCGAGAATGACCCGGGTCGAGCATCTGATTTACCGGAGCAAAACACCACTGACCTCTCGTACACCCACGTCGATATAGTGGTTTCTGAGTTGCTTGGCTCGTTCGCCGATAATGAGCTGTCTCCTGAGTGCTTGGATGGAATCAACGATCTTATCAATCCTGTTCATGGCATTTCCATTCCGGCTTCATACTCGGCTCATTTTACCCCCGTTTCAGCCCCCAAATTGCACTCAGATGTGATGAACCAGACCGTCTCCAACCCGGCTGCCCCGGAGACGCCTTACGTTGTTATGCTACACGCTATCGATTTCTTGTCTTCCCATGAGACCCCAGTTAATCCCGACCCTGGAAACCATAACCCTGCAAACCGCTCTTCTGGCTCAAGCGTACCGATCACGGCCACCGAATTCCAAACCCCTTTTGTCCAAACAGCATGGTCCTTTTCTCACCCCAATCGGAACATCCCGGACCAAACGCCGTCCTCGTCCACCATCTCAAATTCCCACAACGTGCGACAGACCCGTCTGTCATTCCCTGCCCAGAACCGCGGTGCTTGTCACGGCCTGGCTGGGTACTTTGAAACCGTTCTATATGGAGACGTAGAACTCTCGACCAATCCGGTAACGATGGAAGAGAAGAGTGCTAGCATGATCAGCTGGTTCCCTATATATTTCCCATTGAAGGTAAGACTTCTTGCGGCAAGGTTGTATATCTTGACTGCGACGTGCGCTAACATGATTACACAACCAGACTCCCCTGAATGTTCCCGATAACGGTGAGATTGTTGTCACGATGTACCGTCAGACAGATGACCGTAAGGTCTGGTATGAGTGGATGGTTGAGGTTTTTGCTCTGGAATCTACCTCCGCGGCTGGCAGCAAACCTGCCGCGCCAATGATGAGCGGCGCTCAGTCTATCTCACCCAGCGTCGAAAGCCTCAAGATCAAAGACAACGACCAAAGAAACCAAAGAAGACTTGGAAGCACAGCCGGATACCGCCGCGTGCGGGTTGGAATCAGTGACCTGCATTCAAGCATTAAGGATGGTTGTCTGATGTGAGAGTATACTGTAGCTGATGACAGAGGCTGATACGGTGTCCGCCATATCTATCACGCAGGATTTACGAAAAAAAAAAAGACCCTTGGAGGCCAATACAATGACGAATTAGAAAAGAAAATCCGCTAAGCGTGCATTCAAACTCGCTTGGCAACTATTATTACAAATCTTTTTGTAAAAAGCTCCTAAATTGCCGCGACTGTAATACCCATTATCATGACCATACTACAGGCTGCCTAGTGGGCACTTTATAATCGTCGCATTCTATTGTTTAATCTGATCATTAATTAAATGGGTGGCGGAATGTGTTCACGGCTTCTCATGAGTAACATTTGAATCTGCCTCCAAGATGGGCCTCGTCGCAGCAATTTCCGCAACTGACTGCGATCTGTCGGTCTCTGATAGAGGAGTTCGCGAATCTGCCTCCACTGGGCGCTCCGATCTTCTGATGATCATGGTAGGTACAGATGGATCTTCCAAATCTTCGTCCAACTTTGCGGGAAATCTCCAGGCGCATAGTCCAAGCCCAAGATAGGAGCCCATACAAAAGAAAAATTGCACAACCTCGCGGGCAGCAATAGCCACCTGTGTCGGGTAGATGTGTGCGAGGTAGGAGTTGATGCTCCAAATAGCCCAAAGCCCGTTCAAGGCGAAAAAAAAAGCCACTCGCAGTGAATGCAAAGTATGTAGACATCTTCAAAGTGGTTATTAGTTAACTGTGAGATGGAACGGAGATTCAAGTTGCCTTCAAGTTCAAACTTACCCTCACATGGGGTGCCTGGGATGACGTCCGCATACCAATAAAAATCATTGCACCCAGGATCTCCCAAGATCCCACCCAGAATAAAATCCACTTCACCGACATGATTTTTGACCATATCTGGTAATGCTCAACTTGAAGAGTGTATTTGGGTCGTATATACTGCATTTGGCTCAGTATGTTATAGACATACCAAGCAAAGTCAACAATGCTTATAGACACAAATATTCCCATAAGCACCCAATGGAACCTATTTATTCGAGGCCAATAGCTGCTTTGACCAATGATTTGCTGTCCAAAAGTGTAGATGGTCGCGTAAAATATGTAGAACAGGAGGTTGATTGCGATCAGCATCAAGCCTTCGCTGATCGGTTCTGCAGAGGGATATGTGTCCTTCAGGTGAACGCCTGCGAGGTGTATGGAATTATAAACGCCGATACAGATCTCAGCTCTAACAAAACAAAGGATTATTAGCTATTCCAAGGTTGATAACGATATAGCGAGATATTTAGTCGCCACGTTCGCGCGCTTACCCAAAGTAAAAAAGCATGGATGCCAATAAAGCTTTAAAAGGCAGCGGTTTGAGGGCATTGCCTCTATTTCTTTTGAGAACAATGTATGCCGTGAACAAAATCGCCAGGCCTAGGGCAATCAAAAGCTCAAAGACCCCGTAGCAGATACGAAATACATCGCTACCGTCCAAAGAAAACGTCATGCTGGGTTCGCTCCTGTCTAGCGACGCGACTAGAGCTTGGAGATGTCGATATAGAATCTCGGCATTTGAGTAAGGACAAAACGGTCAGAACGAATAAGAAAATACTGGTATCATGTATGTCGCTTTGAGATGCCAGAACGTCGAGAGCACAGCTTTAAGGGTGCTATTAAGGATTCCGACCGCAGGTCAGGTCAAGGCAGAATTGAGGGCGCACGCCCCTTGAGAGGCGCCCCAGGAGGCTCCAATGAACATGTCTGATTTGCCGCCTGAATATAGGATCGGCGCTTGGCAAACGCACCTGAAACTGCCCAGTGGGCGACCGTGAGTGAAGCCCTGAGCATCGACCAGAAATATTAACCTTCGGGTCGCTAACCGGTCGCTTAAATGAGAGGGTTGAACTATCTAGGCGCGAAATTGAACTATGCTGGTGAAATCACTCTGTTTGGGCTTCTATCCTCATTTTTCACGACTATTGGCATCCTTGTCTCTTTCTAGTGGGCGTGTCACCTTAGCCTTGGGCAGGCAACGATCGGCGCTCAATGCATACACAAAGGTACACAAGGCAGTGCAGTGCGCATTGAAATGCGCACCGGAATCGCAGGTAACTCACATCAGATCTGAAGCATGAATACGAGTACTCTATAGAATAATTATCTCTATTGCCTATGAAGAGTCCTGGAGTCGGACTAATCTCTAAAGATAAATATGATCAGGTCGCGATTAATCATCGGTAAAATCTACTAGTTACTAGTCAAGGGCTTGATATCATTTTCGAGGACTCTCACGGACTTTTTGAGATTTTGAAAATTCCAGTCGTTACCCACCAACAGTGGCATGAGCATCGATAACTAAAAGCGCTTCTTGTACATAATGGGGAAAATTCTCAAGCACGTTCACATCTTCAAGTTGGGACCTCGGATCAGATTGCGCAGCTGGCCGCGCCGGGGTTATAGAACATTCCGAGAGTGGGTCAGGTCCCGATCACGAGTTTGATTTTAATCAATTTGTGTTCTGATTCTCAAAGTTGGACCCGCCTTTACACATTGAAATCTAAGAGAACGAACGGGTCGGCCGATGGGAGACCCTGTTCTTGTAATCCCTGTCGTGTAACCTCGGCATAGTTCCTTCAAGTTAAACTGAGATGCAGACGAGTCAATCTGGAAAGCAAACCCTGGCCACTCAGATTGATTGGCTGTCATCGGGCCGAAACATTCCTGCCCGCATGCGTTCAGTGGCGGATTTAGCGTGCCCTAACTTAATCGCCAAGGTGTTCATCGCTTCAAGCCACCATTATTTAGCTGCTAGCTTGGGTTTCGCTCTCAGGCCAAGGAGATCATCAGAAGTCAGCAAAAGGCAGAAATTCGGCAATCTATCTTGCCATTCCCATGTGGTCGCCCTCGCCCGCGATGATCATCGCCCATCCCATCGCTTGTCTCAAATCCTCCCCGGACTAGCCCACCGGAAATAGTTAGACGCCCGCGGAGCCCCATTATCATCCACGGTCTGTCGATAGCCAAGCTCCAGCAATCGCTCCAAACGGGTCCGCATCGGGCTGGCTTAACCACCGATTGGCAACCTGATCTTCACAGATCGAATGCTAAAAGGAAAGTACACCGATGCACCGAGGTAGCCCGGCTCGTTGGAAATCAATCAGGCTGGCAATCACTGCCAGTCTCGTCAGATCACGCATTCAATTTGTAGTTCATTGCATGGTACGCAACGTTCCTGGTGGATAGCAATGCAGGAACCGGGCTATTCTCCCGCGTGGAACCGAAATGGCTTCAGCTGAGTATAAAGGGCCAGCAATGGCCATGGGTATCACTAGTATCAACGAAACATTTTGCTAAATCATCATGCGTTTCTCAATCCTGACAGCATTGTCTGCTATCGCTGCCGTCGGGCATGCTCTGCCAAGTAACCTGCAGGCTCGAGGTAAGATGGCAAAGAAGAATCTCAGTTTGTTCTACGACTCATGCCTTTGCAGACGTGCCAAACGACGAGTTGTCCCATTTTAAGTTCTGGGTCGAGTATGCGGCTGCGTCTTATTGCTACGACAACTATGCTTCTAAGCCTGGACACAAGTTGACCTGCTCGGCTCACAACTGTCCTCAAGTAGAGAAGAGTGACACTAGTATCGTGTATGACTTTTCCAAGTGAGTATTCCACAAATTCAAAGACCCGATAGAACTCCTCACTGATTGAATTAGCACCACCTTGACCGATACCGCCGGCTACATTGCACTAGACAAAACCAACAAGGCCATTGTTCTGGCCTTCCGTGGCTCCTATTCGGTTCGCAACTGGATCGCTGACGCTTCATTCTTCTACACCGACCCGAAACTCTGTGATGGCTGCTCTGCAGAGCTGGGGTTCTGGAGTTCGTGGACCAACGTCCGCGATCCTATCTCAAAGGTCCTGAACGAAACCGTTTCTAAGAACCCCGACTACGAATTGGTCGTCGTCGGCCACAGCTTGGGCGCTGGAGTCGCTACTCTCGCTGCTGCTGATCTTCGTGTTAAGGGTCATCCGTCGACTAAGCTATACGCATACGCATCCCCTCGTGTGGCCAATCCCGCCCTGGCCAAGTATATCTCTGCCCAGCCAAATAACTATCGCTTCACCCACATCGACGATCCTGTTCCCAAACTGCCTTTGATCGCCATGGGATACGTTCACGTCAGCCCCGAATACTACATTACAGCACCAAACAACGCAACTGTATCCACCAGCGAGGTTCAGGTCCTCCAAGGGGATATCAACTGGGAAGGAAACACTGGAACTGGCGCGCCCTCATTGACTGCATTCTCTGCCCATCACTGGTACTTCAACGAAGCAGACGGCTGCATCGGAGCTGGTCTTCCCTTTAAATAAATCACGAACTAGACATGGCGTGGTACACTTTGACTCTGGCTGGGACCATGATATTTTAATTTTTAGAAGCATAATAGACAATAGACAATCATTACTCAATGATTAGTTTTAGAATCAGAGCTCAAAGCTTTATCGGAATAGAAACAATGTGCATATATTTGGGAATGCAATTTATCTGCTCCAATTAACTTTTGATAAAACCCGTTTGCATTTCCAAAAATATAGCCAGAGCAACCAAGACCAGGACATACCTAAGAACTTGAATCATACAATGCTTTTTACTGATAGTATCTACCCATGATAAAGGAGTAATATAGTCAAAAATGTTCCATTCAATCTATTCACCGCTATCTCGTGGTTTGAAGTGAATGTGGAAGGTGTCATGAGGAACATTCTATTCCTGTGCAATTTCAACAACTACCTTCTTCGCCGAGACACCTCCCCTCAGAAAATCTATACCTTCCTGTACTTTACTGAGACCACCCTTCACAATCACAGGATCTGGCTTCGCCTGAAACTTTCCGTTGGCGAGGGCTGATGGGATATATTGACGCCAAACTGCGTCCCCGACCTGGGATTCGTGAATCCAGGCGCGAGACCGTTCACTTCGGAGTATCAGCAAATGTTTCATCCTAAGGGGGGTTGAATCTTACCAAATACTCGTTCCACACTTTCGTGGAGCGATCCCTTTGGGGAAACCCAAAATTGGTAGTTTTCCACCGCCAATCCGCGACAAAATCTCTCCACATTTAACCTGGGTATCCTCACTGCTGATACAGTCGACAACTAAATCGCCCGGTCTTAGGAGGTTCGAGATCTTATCAACTGTATCGGTATCCTTGTGATCAAATACGTCGGTTGCCCCAAGTTGCTTGACAAGAGCATGGTTAGCACTGCTAGCGGTCGCTATGACTTCAAGACCAGAAGCGTGTGCAAGTTGGATGGCGGAGCTCCCGACAGAGGAGCTACCTCCCCATATGAGGATTTTCTTTCCTGTGAATTGAGAGTTTAGTGAGGGCAGAGGCGCCTTGAGCTGGACAAAAAGAGCACTAGAAGCCGTGCTGATAGAAATTGGGAGGACGACGGCATTAGCCAACGGCAGAGAATCTGGTACCGCCGCAACTAAGATTTCGCGGCAAGTAGTGTATAGTTGAAATGCGCAGTTGGATGCTTTTCCTGACACAAAGCCATCGCAGTGACTAAATCGTTGTTAAAAACCGTCCCCGTGGATCCATGAGTAGACCAAGGCTGTGACGAGGAGACCTACCCAATAACTCTTTGTCCGAGCTTAAATCGAGTAACGCCGGAGCCCAGTTGAACAATAGTGCCCGCGACATCGGTTCCGAGGATAAAGGGATATTTCAGCTCGAAGCTGGCATCTTCTTGCAGCTGTTACATAGTATGTTAGGTCCTTCTGTTTAGATATCGTGTTCTATCCACAGATTATGGATTTTAGGTTCTTCCAACCTTCCAGTCCACGGGATTGATAGCGGCGTAGGCGACTTTGATGACAATTTCA